GAAGTGAGTGAAATTTCTCTAAATGAGCCCCAGATAGCAGTAAACATCTAACAGGGGTTCTTATCTTTCTCCACTCCATCCAAAAATGTACAAAAACACAGTTTTGCCTAGACAAACACTTTATGTCGCAATAGTTTTCATTGAATATTTAATAAGAGGTCACATACACAGATGTCGTTGCAGTCTTTTTGTAACGGAACTCAACACATACACATACATCACCTAGTTGTTTGGCTCCTTTTTAAATCATACTGATAACAGAAATCACCCAAATGGCCCTGATTAAAAGTTTACATACCCTGGAATGTTTAGCCTTGGTATAAACACACAATGTGACACACGCAGGTTAAAATGGTAATGGTAGTGTAATTTCTCACATGTTGAGGGGCTCCAGAACTTCAGTTCTCAACAAAGAAAGGTGGTTTTTCATCTTTCTCAGGGTTTTGTAATTCTCTGACCAGGGTCTGTATCTCAGAGACTTTAAACTATCTTGGAAGGGAAGAAGTCCACAAACCAGTGGCCAGGTCTTTCCAGAGAGGTGTTGACAGCCCTTATAAATTGGGACCTGACAATAGTTTGGTGCTCCACCCGAGAAATACCCGAGAAATAGGAGGTCTCCGCGTAGGAATCAAGAAGACTCCCAACAGTGAGGCTGCGCTGGGCAGCCAGTGCATGTGTAGGTGCAGTTGTTGATAGAACAGCAGAGAGCTGCAAAAGAGCTGAGTGTCAGGTACACAGGATGCACAGGAGCTCAGTGGTACCATGTTAGATGGTCTGGAGGACCAAGGCAAAAGGCCTGAGCAAGCAATGCTGCTAGGGAGAGCCAGGAGGCTGAATTTGATTTATGTTAATGCTGATAGTGGAACCCCCTGTATTTCTGGAGTTGAATAAACTCACTGAGGAACACTACACTTGAGATAACAATCACCAAACCATCAGAAACCTAAAGCTTAGTATACCCGATCAGAAAATTGTACAAAAAATACTGCTATAGAAGCCATCGTATGATAATCTGACTGTAAGCACACAGCTTTCGTTTGAAATTATTTGAAGAGTTATACAGGTCGTGGTGGTTTATGACACCAGACCTGACAAAAAGTTTTACATTAGATTTAATTTTTTCTGTTATCTTATTGTTGCAGGTCTTCCATATACAACCCTAAGGGACCGCTTTGGTCACCATCAACAGATAATAGTTTTGAAATATTGTATTTTGCGCCTTGCCTGGTTCAGCCCGAAAGTGCTGTAGTTTATATGGGGGAAAAAATGGATGTATATTTTCTGTACTGGTTTGTAACTTCTTTCTTATGAAAAAAAATGAATAAGCATTATTGAAAATAAATTATTTGAAGAGACAAGTACAATTTTCATTTAACCAATACAGTTTTCCTCCAAAAATACAATACAAATACCTTACCATTCATGACAACACTTCCAAATTTTAATTCTGTTTTATGAGAATTTTCATAACTTTAGTAACCTTTTTATTATCGATATGAGATTAGCATGCAAAAAAAATTCATCCAATATTCTCATTGTGTGTAGGTGTGTTAAGTCTGCTTCCAAAGCCAGTTTATGAGGTAGCTTAGCACTGGGGGCAGATAATAGCTTATAAAAGGCAAAGATACCAACCCTCTGTACTGCCTTCCACTGTCAATTGTTTCTGAAGACAGTGCTGTAGTGATGTCATCTATCTCTCTTTTTTGAGACTAACAATTTAAGGCTTGCAAAACAGAATCTATTAAAATTTTAAGGGATTTTAAATCAGTACACCATTGACTAATCATTAACAAAGGGATGAGATATACAAACACAATATTTTCAGAACAAGCAAAGATAATCTAAACGGCATTTTCTTCTTGATATATAGGCTCATTATTTTTCATGAGATTGGAAACTCTCTTTCACCCAGAGTGGGAAATACCTGAAAACAAAGATGAGTAGATGAATAGTTCTAATTTATTTACCAATAAAGTTGAACAGATGAATAAATGGAACTTCTTCACAAATACCATTACCCAGGTGCTCACAAAGGAAAACTATTAAAATATATGTTTTGCCCTCTGTCAGCATACACAGCTTAATACCTGCAAGTGATGTAACAAATTACAGCATCAATGAACCATGAAGGCAATACCTAGAAGCCAATAATGAGAGCCTATAATCATGAAAATGTTAATTACAGAACATAGACATTTTCAGTGTCCAGCACTCCAGCCATACAAGCAAAGAGTGCCAGGAACTGTAGCTATCGGTATGTTTTAGTGTACACCATTCTCAGCTTGACATCTGCCTGTCTATGACCCACCATAAAGACTCTTTGAAATAAATTATTTTATCCAGTCTTGGAAAGACCATATGAAAAGACATTAGATTCTCTGCATTAATTACAACATCTCAAAATCATGTGGGAAAAGAAAACATCTAAATAGTATGTCCAGTTCAATGAGAAAAGATAAGTATACATTCATATAAAGCAGGGGTATTGAATTACAATTCAAGGAGGTCCGAGTGAGGTGCAAAGGAGGTTTTCTTCTGACCGAGGTCCGAATAGGGTGTGCCCATCAGTGTGCCCCCTTACATTAGGTGTCGCCATCAGAGTGCAACTTTACATCATGTATTCCCATCACATCAGGTATGCCCATCAGAATGCTCTTTTACATCAGTTGTCCCCATCAGGGTGCCCCTTCACAACAGGTACCCCCATCACATTACCACCTTACAGCAGGTATTCCCGTCAGAGTTCCCCCTTATACTCAAAGTACCCCTTTCTATCATATTTCCCCACCAGAGTTCCCCTTTACATCATATTCCCCATCAGAGTGTCCCTTTACATCATATTCCCCATCAGAGTGTCCCTTTCCATCACATGTGCTCATCAGAGTGCCCCTTTCCTCAGTATGTGTGCATTTGTGCCCTCTTAACATAAAATGGGCCTGTCAGAGTGCCTCTTAACATAAAATGTGCCCATCAGAGTGCCCTCTTAATATAAATGTACCATCAGGGTTCCCCTTAATATAAATGTGCCCATCATGGTGCCTCTTAACATAAAATGTGCCCATCAGAGTGCCCCTTAACATAAAATAAGAGGCATGCTGATGGGCATTTTATGTTAAGGGGCACCCTGATGGGCACATTTATATTAAGGGGCACCATGATGGGCACATTTATATTAAGGGGAACCCTGATGGGCACAATTATATTAAGGGGCACTCTGATGGGCACATTCTATGTTGTGCCCACCAGAGTGCCCCTTAACATTCAATGTGCCCATCAGAGTGCCCCTGTAAGTCTACACCCTACCTTGAGGGCAGACAGGAGCAGTGCCGGGATCCTTGCTGGACGCTTGTGTACAGGCAGGGAGCGGGAGCCGGAGAGACAGTGAGCTAAAAGGGGCGGGGCACACACGTGATGCCATGTTGCCATGACGACTTCCCTGCTCAGCAGCGGATCTGTCATTGCAGGATGGTGGTCCGGGCGGCAGCACTGCTGGGGCCTTTCGCAGACCGAGGTCCGCCACTTAGTGACCGCTGATATAAAGGATACTTATACATCGTGCTCAGCTACCCTAATAAAGGGTATATCCATCCTCTCCCACCCCAGATACATATTTGCTTTGATCCATGGCCTTGACTTTCCAATATGTTTACAGCTACTGGCTGAAATCTTCTTGCTGCTGGCTGTGCCTGCACAGTGCATCCCTTGAACTTCTATGGCAGGCATATCTTTTAGAATCTCCATATTCAGAATGTTAACAAAGAAGCTAAACTAGTTGTTTATGTCACAAATCATTGGGAAGGAATTCAGAAAGTCACAATCAAATCCACTGTTATCTCATAAAAACTGTATAGGGATACTGTATTGGTTGTTCTACACATCAAAATGTAATCACATTGTGTTTCCAATGTTTTTTGGTTCCCCAAAAACTGGCACATTTTCCACATTTACAAGTCCTTTTAAATCTAAAATAACCTGATAAAAAGAATTTGTAATTCTATATACTCAGTCTTAAGCTTCAGCCACCTCCGCCAGACAGCAAAGCCGTTTTTGAACTTTTCTGTCTGCAGAAACAGTCAAGAAATTACCATTCCAGACCGCCTTCGTAAAATGCTATTTTTTTGTGTGTTATCGGCTTTGATATTTTCAGATTCACAAGCCTTCATTCCACATATACCCTACAGATTCATAACTCTTTTTATGGTTCAGCATAGCAACTAGCATTTTCAGAAGAGTACCTGTGGAACCCCCATATTTACAGGTTTTCTATATAGCGTATCTAAACCCAAAAGCAAAAATATAACAAATTGCAGCTTACCATTATTTAAATGGGAGGCTACATTAGTTATCATTTTACAGGCTTTTTCTCATTTATTTTCACCTGGCAACAAATTTCCTGTCCCTTGAAGGCTATGCTTGTTTTTCCACTGGATCGATGGAGGGAGCCTTGATTTTTATACAGGCTGGACTTCAAACATGTTCAAACATTATTTTTACCTATTACCGTATATATATAACACTATATTACACAATATTTGCTTGAAATTCAGCTTTGAGTTGTCTTTTGTATAAGTACTTATTCACTCTTAGAAGAGGCTAAGGCAGGACACAGACAACATAATTTTTTACCTGCAACCACGGGTTACAGGTAAGAAAATTGCTCTATTTCCCCATCAACACAGTCAATGTTGATGGGAAAATCTTTCGTAGGATTGATCGATCGACTTGGGTACAATCAGCCTGCCCATACGTGGATCGAATCTTGGCCAGTCCCTGTTGAACTGACAGATCCAAACCAATTATGGCCAGCTTTAGGCCAAACCTCTTGAAGGCCACATATTCCTGAGCTTTTTATTTGAAAACAATAGGCTTTGCTTTGGATTATTGCTTTGGAATTGCTTCAGAAAGTGATCCATTGTTATTTAAACAGTTTGCACATTGTATCTGTGATATCTAATAAGCATTTGGTGCTTCATTCTTTTCAGAACCCTTTTCATCTGCGAATGGATATGAGAAGTTCAGTGGATTCTCTAATGGAAATCTTGAACAGTGTCTTACAGAACAATAGCTGGGAAGAACTAGCTGTTATCACATGCCACCCATGGGAAAGCACCATCATACTTGACTATTTGACCACTAATACAAGCATAGAGACACATGAGATCCTCAACATTTACTCACTTGATGATGCTGATGTGGGAACTTACCTGAATCATCACTTTGATACTATAAAGAATCCCCAGATACCTTTGCTTCTACATGGATGTGATGCCCAGCGATCTTCCTTGGTGTTCCAAGCAGCCAAAGACTATGGGCTGGAGCCACTTGAGTTTCACTGGCTGGTTGGACAACCACTTAATGTGGAAGAGATGCAGACAGATGGCTTGCCCCCTGGTTTGTTAGCTTATGGAGAAGTCAGCCGACCAAGTCTGGAAAACTTTTTAAGAGATGCGGTGGGGCTAGTAACTAAAGCCATCTCCAGAGCAGTCCAAGTGAGACCAGATCTTGCACTTATTCAAACCATGATAAATTGCAACGATAAACAGACATCACAAAATGAGTCTTCTGGCATGTACCTTTCCAGGTGAGATACTGTAATTACTAACATTTAAACTGTGCAATTATTTGATGCAACCATTATATAAATTATTCTTTTATATTTATTCTTTCCAAAAAGCAGGGCTGCTTCTCTACCTTTGAGAACCAGAAGTTTGCTCTAGGAAACCATTCACAATGCATTTATATATAGAAATACAAATATGCTACTGTGAAACATTGTCACTATATCTAATAATGACACAATTTGTATAAAATAAGATTTCTAAACAACAGGCTAAAATAGCTCAGAATGAATTCCTGGTGGTGGATGGAGCAATACATGAAGGTATTATTAAAGTACTGATAATTTTCTGAAAGTGCAATATTTTAGAGAACCCACTTTCTATGCACTTCCTAAGATCCACAAGGACATCACTAATCTTCTAGGAATATACATGGTATCGGGAGTTGGTTCCTATACTAAGAATACGAGTATAATACTGTGTATACACAAATATTTGTAAAGTATATTGATAGCTTTTTAAGACCACACTTGGAGTGTTTTTCATATACTATAGCAGTGGTATTGAATTAGAGCAATATTAAACTCAAAAGCAAACATTTCTTATATTGCAGCTTACCAATTCTTAGATGTGATGGTTGCATTAATTTCTCTTTTTAAGTTTTTCATCTTCTATTTTGATATTTTGATTCAGGCAGTAAATCTGTTTGGCAGGTGTGCCTAAATGATCCAATTTTATTTATTTATATAAAACCTTTATCCCAAGATGAAAAAAAAAAACAGTTTGCTGTAACTAATTATAAAGTATTGTCTGGAGTTCAGCTGCAATTTGTTGCTGTATTTAAATCTACTAGCACATCTAACACTCCCCTCCCCACTGACTGACAATGCTGCAGTCCAAATCTGCCCCTGTATTGTCTGGAGTTCAGCTGCAATTTGTTGTTGTATTTAAATCTACTAGTACATCTAACACTCCCCTCCCCACTGACTGACAATGCTGCAGTCCAAATCTGCCCCTGTATTGTCTGGAGTTCAGCTGCAATTTGTTGTTGTATTTAAATCTACTAGTACATCTAACACTCCCCTCCCCACTGACTGACAATGCTGCAGTCCAAATCTGCCCCTGTGCTCATTCATCCAGAGTGGTGTTTGTATAATACAGGAGGTGTGTTACTGGCTAGATCACCAGGGGAAAACAGAGGGGAAAAAAAGGCTAAAAAATGAATGCAGCCACCACATCTAATGACTGGTAAGCAGTGATGTATTACATTTTTGGATTGTGGTTTAATACCACATTAATATTCACGGAGGTCTAGTCAGCAAAATTACAGTATCTCCCAGAAGAGATCCAAATCACAGCTTGGGGGTGATGACTCTGACTGAGTCCTCATATCACAGTTCCCCTTCTCTTATATCACAATCCCATTCTTAAATCAGTGTCCTCGGCCCCCCCTTCACACATCAAGATCCCCCTTTACATCACCATCTCTCCTTCACAGCAGTGTCCTCAGCCCCCCTTCACGTCAGTCCCCCTCAACTTAAGTGTCCTCTGTCTTCTTCACATCCCACCCCCCTACACCCCCCCCACACACACATTACTGTCCTCAGATCCCTTTACATCACCCCTGCCCCCATCCTTCAAATCTTGTTCTAGCCCTCTTTGCTGTCCTAACTTACACAGATACACAGGGCAGAGGGTGCCCTGCAGTTCTGGATGGAGGGCTGCACAACTTTTCATGTTAACAAGCTGGTTTATGGTTTCTAGGACTACCATGTGACCTAGCAACCAATCACCTGTTGGTTAACTTAAAAAGTTAACTTGGGTAGCTCCTGTCTTCTGTCTAGAACTTTCCTGCCTCCTGCTGTCAGCTCTGCTATGAGAATGACACCAGCAACGGAGGAAGGAGAAAAAGCTCATAAGTGGTGCAGTGGTCTGGTTGGGACAGTGACTCAGTCTGGATCCAGACCATGGTCTCTATTTAGTGATGCTTCTACTAGAACCACCTTTTACACCTTATTTAGTTGGAGGGAAGCCACGCTAGTTGCTTTAGGGGTGGAGGTGTTATATTAAAGCGTTAGTAAACTCCAGAAAACAAACACTTTCCCATTGCAAGGCAATGTCATAATGTGAAACTTACAGTACCTTAAAAAAAAAAACCCCAGCAGCACGCTGTCACCCGCTGACAGGGCTTCCATCTTCATTCTTCCAGGTTCGCAGACTCCGGCAGTTCAAATGGCTGAGCCGCGATGATGTCACAAGGGTTTATTTGTAGTTAAACAGTTTTTAGATTAAATCATTATGTCAGAACAAAATTAATTAATTAGGCATTTATTCAACTTCATTTTGAAACAATGCTTTTTTTTCGCTGGCTCCCACTACCACCAGGTGCAGGGGATGGCAATGGGGATCATATATGCCCTGTCCTGCACTACTAATCATCACCTGGGAGGTGGGAATATAAACTTTTTAGTGATGGGGACTTAGGGACTCTGTATACCTGTGCTATGTGGTAATGTGGCACAGGTATATAGATGACATCTTCATCATTTGGACAGGCACTGAACAAAAACTGATCGAATTTATGGAAAAAAATGAATTTGAATGATGTATTCGCTATAAATTCTGATAAGGACACAATCTCCTTTTTTGATTTGATGTTTGACCTCTCCCTCTAGTCATGTGTTCCCACATCAACCAACAAACTATATTAAAAAAAAGTGCAGTTCAACAAAAAGGATCGATCGATATAAATTCACATGTTCATTAATGTAAACCTCTCTGTTATTTGAGCTATAAGAAGAAGGAGATATTCTGCATGGATTTGGAGGACATTTATAATTTTGACTAAATAAGACTCATTTTTTTCTTTATCTTTTGCATGAGTTCGGGTGGTATATAAACATTTTAAACAATCACACAAACACTTTTTTGGCGATATATAAACATATTTTTATTGAAGACATTATTATTACACATTAACCACTTGACCTCCAGAGGAGTTACCCCCCTTGCTGACCAGGCCATTTTTTGCGATACAGCGCTGCGTTACTTGAAGTGACAATTGCCTGGTCATGCAATGCTGTACATAAATTAAATTTTTGTCCTTTTTTTCCCCACAAATAGAGCTTTCTTTTGATGTTATGCTGTGCAGAGAAATACATAGCAGTATGTTCTTGCTGGCAGGTGAGAGACCTGTGTTGTTTACACACAGGTCTTTCCTCTGTCAGTTTACTCGGTCGGGACCTGGTGATTGACATCCATAGCTGCCAAGGGCAGTGCGGGTAGGGCGGCATGCATACAGGCACGTCCCCTACCTGGAAATGAAAATTACGTATATATACGTGAATTTGCGCAGCCCTGCTGCCATGTAGCAGTACGTCTACTATAGGGCGGCGGACAATCGGTTAATATTTACACTCACTGGCCACTTTATTAGGTACACCTGTTCAATTGGTTATTAACACAAATTGCTACTCAGCCAATCACATGGCAGCAACTCAATGCATTTAGGCATCTAGACATGGTGAAGACGACTTTCTGAAGTTCAAACCGGGCATCAGAATGGGGAAGAAAGGCATGCTATCATGTCAATATGGACCAAAATCTCCGAGGAATGATTCTAACACCTTGTTGAATCTATGCCACGAAGAATTAAGGCAGTTCTGATGGCAAATGAGGATTCAACCTGGTACTAGCAAGGATACATAATAAAGAGGCCAGTGAGTGTACTTGAGGTATATAAATCAGTTGTTTCACTTTATCGATCGCTTTTTTTTTCAGTTGTATTTACTTGTGTTATACAGTAGTTCAAATAGCACAGACGTTTACATCTTGATGCGTGAAAGTATATCGATCAATTGTTTTTGTTGCACTGCACTTTTTTTTATATAGCTACAAATAGTATACTACTATACTATGCTATACCTTGCTCATGTCCTTAGTGCTCAGCCCTAATTCTGATTAAGTCAGTTCCATATTGTCAATATTTACGGCTAAGGACAATATCCTTAAAAAAACTCAGAGTTTAGATCAAAAGCTAAAAAACTTTACAACCAGATTGAGACAGAGAGGATATTGTAGCAATCGTGCACACAGAGATGGACACAGTCATCCATTTTGCTCCAAACCCCTCCATCTTGTATCTCTCTCTCCCAAATCAGATTCCTCCGATATCCCCCCTCCCTCTCTGTTGAGTGACATGTGGTCTGGATGATGACAGAGATCACAGGCAGCAAACTCATTGGGAGGGCATCATGGCTAAAAACCCCAATTAGCTGGTGCCCATATGTCTGCGAGACTCTTGCTTGGAAAGATATCGTAAAGCCATAAACCAAGTCCTTCACTGAGTTCAAAGACATTCCAGATAAGCCATAAAGCAGACATCACATTCAAGACCCACCTTCCCCTATGATTACATATCTTGGAATATGAGAGACTTACCTAAAAACCAGGCAGATATTCAAACCGGTCACTTTAATACAAGTCATCTGATATATTACACCCCCTATCTGACATATACAGGGAAGCAGAGAATGATATCTCCTTACCCGTCACAACAGGTATGTCATATTTCATATGTAGACGTTCAGCAGAAGATTCTGCATATTAATCTACTCATGGATAGAATGTTATATGTATCCAGGGTAAGTTATGAACCATGACATCAATTGGGAGGGTTTTTGGTCACAGCTTGGGTCTCCGCCTGCAACACCTGCCCACATGAGGCGATTGGTTCTCTGCCTCAGGGAGACACCCTGCTGAGTTCCTAGAAAAAGCTAAGCTAAGCTGAGTTGAAAAAAGTTGAAGATTCTCCCTTTTGACATCGGAACCAACTTTGGGAGATAATGGACCCTTTTGCTCTGACACTTGAAAGATGCTTTAACCAAGGCTGACGGCAAGTACTTTATCTATCTAAATTCCTTTCTGTTATCTCTTTGCTGTGCTATTGCTCTTTGTTTATCTATATATATATATTGGCTACATATTTTTTCTGTAAATATTTTTATTGCACCTTTTTGACCTTTTAGTAATAAATCTTACTTTCTGAAAGTGTTGAACTGGTTCTAAAGCTCTTTAATGCAAACTAAAAACCCCTGCCTCTGAAGAGCGCTACTGTGCGTGTGTTTTAAACTTCAGTATATCTCTGCCTGCAGTGACAGTGGTATACCGACCTTATGCATACCTCATAGTGTTATTGCTGATATTGCCGAATTTCCTCTTTCTCTGGACAAAAAGGAGGTGGTGGCAGTGTATTTGTGTAAATAACCTGATCCAGTAACAATCGCTCCCAGGCTGCAGATACACAGATTGTGGTCCATTAGCTGGAAAATCTTTGTGCAGAGTGCAGCTGGGTGTGGCATTGTTACACACGTGACAGCACGGTTTTAGATTGGCTAGTCCTTCGGTCACGAATTTGGTGAGAAGGGCTGGGGTCTGACACCGCGATCGTCACAGATATAGTAGGAAAAAATTAAAAGACAGCTTATTAAAGACCTAAAAAGAAGTTTAGGGACAATGTTAATGCCTGGAATACATAGGTTCATATCCTAGAATCCTGGCTAATTCCTGCGGAAGCAGCCAAAAATTGAGCCATGGGTGGCTCTGTCAAACATGGGCTTAACAAGAGAAATCTATATATGTATGGGTAGCCATACACAAAAGAGTAACCAGAAGGTAAAATAAAACACTTCACCTATCAGAATGATGACTGATTATATCGATATCATACAAATCTGTTATCTCTTAAATTACCACATTTTGGGACAATTCCTTGAAAAGTTCACATTTAGGTGGGCTAAATCTCTGAAATTCTCACTGATACATAGGTAATATAAGACATTAGCTTGTTAAAACATGTCTAGTGAGAGGTAGCTTTACGTTTGAATAATGTAATCAGACTTATAACTTCCAAACGGTGACGTTTACTTTAGTTTGTAAGCATCTAATAGACTGCTCTATGCTCTACCTAATTCTTTGTAAATGTACTGCCTATTATGTAGTCAAAACGTAGAAAAGAAGAATATATGAGCACATTCAAGAAAGAGCGCAGGCATGCCCTTTCTCTCCTTGCAGTGAGCAGAACATAGTCCATGCTTAGGACTTCTAAGGACTTCTTTTTAATCTGGATGCTGGAGGTAGGACACTTTTAGGGGAGGTTCCTGTGCCAAGCCTTGGGCATTTCTGCAACATATAGACAATACCCTTTTACTGTCCTCTATGGAGTGGCTAATTATAATCCTTATTACTTCTCTATAACCATGCCTTAGACCTAGCACCACTATTTTATACTTGATATATATGGTTAAGGTGCTCTAAATGTATTCAACATAACCCAACACAGAAGGTCTGTATGTTTTATTAATCTTGGGATGACTTGATTTAATACAATACACCAACTGAAAACTATTCTTCTCAAGCTATTATTAGAAAATGCTTAACTTGGGAAAAAAGCTAAGCATCTTTAACATGTCTCCATTTATTACAGGTATTTATCCAACACATCGTTCTCTGGACAAACAGGGCGTATCTATGTAACAGGCAATAATCTGGTCCACACTGAGCGCCACTACAAGATTTGGAGCCTTGTGCGTGACTCTGTAGGGCATCCAACATGGGTTACTGTGGGAGGCTGGCATGAAGGTAAAATGGAAGTGGAGGAAGGTTTGTGGCAGAATCGAATTAAAAAACATGAACCAGTTTCAGTAATGACACCACGTACCAAACTCCGAGTGGTAACTCTGGTGGAGCATCCTTTTGTTTTCACACGAGAAGTTGATGCAGATGGCAGTTGCCCAGCTGGCCAAATGTGTTTGGATCCTCGGACTAATAACTCTGCCTTATTAGGTATGCTGTTTGAAGAACTTAACTCACCAAATGGCTCTGTACCATTGGAATACAAAACATGCTGTTTTGGTTACTGCATTGACTTATTAGAAAAATTATCTGAAGATCTTGGGTTCGATTTTGAACTGTATATTGTTGGAGATGGAAAATATGGTGCACGGAAGGGGAATCACTGGACAGGATTAGTTGGGGACTTGTTGAGTGGAGCAGCCCACATGGCTGTCACCTCATTTAGCATCAACTCAGCTCGAAGCACTGTAATTGACTTCACCAGTCCTTTTTACTCAACAAGTCTTGGTATCCTGGTAAGAATGAAAGACACTGCCTCCCCTATTGGAGCCTTTATGTGGCCCTTACACTGGTCCATGTGGTTGGGTATATTTGTGGCTTTGCACATTACAGCATTGTTTCTCACATTCTATGAATGGAAAAGTCCTTTTGGCATGACCCCACATGGACGTAATCGTATGAAGGTCTTCTCTTATTCTTCTGCACTCAACTTATGTTATGCTATTCTCTTTGGGAGAACAGTCTCAAGTAAAACACCCAAATGTTGCACAGGCAGAGTTCTCATGAACCTTTGGGCCATTTTCTGCCTACTTGTCTTGTCAAGTTACACTGCAAACCTTGCTGCAGTCATGGTAGGAGAGAAGACCTTTGAGGCTTTGTCTGGAATCCATGATCCAAAGGTACGTAATCCATATGTACTATAAGGGATAATAGATTTTATATATATATATATATATATATATATATATATATATATATATATATATATATATATATATATATATATTTCAAGGCTAATAATGCCTAGTTCTTGTTAGTACATGCAAAACTTTATCTTTACTAGCTCAAAGGATGACAACAGATGTCTCTAAGATCTGTTTTTACTCAATATGATAAAGAGAGTATATTACAGGGCTTGAAATTTCCCCTCGCCTGTTCGCCAATGGCGAGTGGAAATTATGGCGGGGGCGAGTGTGTCCCCCAGGGCCGTCTTACTGAGCAGGCTTGGAGCTGAGGCCAGATCTGTCATTGGCACTGGGAGCCGTCAGACTGCTCAATTGCTGAGCACAGTGAAAGCAAAGCAAGGAGTGTGTGCTGTGCTCTCTGCCTCCCCCTAGAATGCAGTACCCGAATCTGTGAGTGAACAACGAAGTACTGCAACTTTTTGTGGGGTGTGTGTGTGTGTACATGTGTTTGTGTGTGTCTAAGTATGCATGTACAATTGTACATGTGTCTGTGTGTATGTACATGTGTGTATCTGTACATGTGTCTGCGTGTATGTACATGTATGTGTGTGTGTGTACATGTGTGTGTGTGTGTGTGTGTGTGTGTGTGTACATGTGTCTGTGTGTGCGTGCATGTACATGTGTGTGTTTGTGTGTATGTACATACATGTGTCTGTGTGTACATGTGTCTGTGTATGTATGTACATGTGTCTGTGCGTGTGTATTTCTGTGTATGTACATGTATCTGTGTGTATGCGTGTCCGTACGTGCCTGTGTGTATATACATGTGTCTGTATGTGTGTGTGTGTGTACAGGTGTCTCTGTTTGTGTGTGTTTGTTGGTGGCGAGTAACTCTAAGGCCTGGCTAGTAGCTCAGGACTTGAAATTTTAAGCCCTGGTTATTATATATATATATATATATATATATATATCAGGGCTAATAATGCCTATTTCTTGTTAGTACATGTAAAACTTTATCTTTACTAGCTCAAAGGATGACAACAGATGTCTCTAAGATCTGTTTTTTCTCAATATGATAATTTTGCCTTGTATTTCCAGTAGGGGGTAGTTATCTACCAGCTTCCTATATTTTTCTTGAAGATCTCCCATAGAGATCTAGGCTCTGGCCTCCTGCCACAAACCTACAAGCCATATCATCTCACAGACTGCATTGGATTAAACATTTATTCCTAGAATTCAATATGGTGTATTAACTAAAATGCATGGTATCTGTTGTGAACCTAGTATGAAGCTGGGACCTAGAGGGAAAGTTAGTCACAGGAAAAAAATTTAAGTTACAGAGAAGTAAGAAAAGTAGTGAGGCATGACGTGCAGGTTTTGTATATTACTCGGTTGGGTATTGACAGCTCTGCAGCTTAGAACATTTCTTAGCTGGCATGTCTCCTGGAAGAATGAACCTTCAATCCATCACCATACACTACCCTATTATCTTCAAAAAAATGGAAAAAGGAGCTGAAATATCCTATATAACCCCACAGTCTGCACACCACCAGCTAACGACCACTCTTCCACTTCTCACTCATTCAGAGGAACTACTGTTTCTGATACGCCAATGAGCAGTGCAATTCTCTGCTGTGAGGTGCCAGGAATCTATGTATGCTTTAACCCAGGCTTTACTGTCCTGTACTGCACTGGCAAGTCAGTTCTGTGTTGGAAGAAGATGTGGCTGCTCCCTTCTAGTGGCTGTGAGGCTCAGAAGTTTGGGCAGGTTTTGGTCATGTTAGTCCTAGCTGTAGGATGTATTTTCAAAGTTGGATGTAAACTCCATTCTTTCTACAACTCCAGAAAATCAAAACACCACTGAAATATATTGTGCATTCTTGTTTGATGACACTACTGGTGTACAGTATATAGACCAATGTGTTCTGTGAAGCTTTGTACAGTATATAAGGGAAAAGTACTGGGTATGGAGTATTATAGTAGTAAATTGAACAGTGGGGTACAGGGGCGGACTGACAACTCATGGGGCCCCCGGGCAATAGGGGATTATAGGGCCCCTGTGACCTTGCCCAAACTCAAAAAATCCTATGAAAAAGGTACCAGGGGCATCTCATGGGGCCCCCTACTGACCCCAGGCCCTCGGGCAGTGCCCGACTTTCCAAATGGTCAATCCACCCCTGGTAGGGTAGAGCTATTAGTATTGTTGGAAAGAGTGTATACTTATGCAAAATAAGGTGAAGATGGACTAGGGACTAAGTAGGTCTTGGCATTCTTATGACCCACTTTCAGAAGCATGGACATTTCTTTACAAGGTCAATAATCATTTTTGATAAGGCAAGACCTACAAATGAATACGTTATCTCATTATGTGTTAAAGTGTTACTAAACCCAGGGCCCTGCATTCACTATATCTGGTCTCCACAGTACACAGAACATGGAAATGCAATTATTTTAGTAAATATAAACTGCTAAATATCTTTTATCATCAGCAGTTAGAGCAGTCTTGTGACTTTCATCTGTTTCCAGCCCACCACTAGTTAAAGCTTGTAGTAGTTTTCTTTCTTCTCTAGGAGGATAGAAATCCCCTGACCCTCTGTCTGGACAGTGCTGATTTGTCCTGTGCTAATTACATGCACTCTCCCAAGGAAAAAAAAAACCCTCTCTAGCAATACACACCAAATTGAGCATGTGCATGCCTGCGGTTCAGTCTGGAGATAAGTGGTGGTCGCATGAAAAAGAGGAGGAACAGAGAAGAAAGGATCAAACCACCTTTTTACACAATGCAGAGGATTAACCCCTTAGGTTCCACAGTGAGAATAACAAGCATGCTTTACTGCATATACAGACTGATTTTACTGTGGTGGGCTTAGTAACACTTTAAGTCTACAGCATGAATTTACTTTAAGAACAGTTTTTGGTCTTCAGAGGGTAATCACTTTGAATGCTAACATTTCATGGGGTTAGAACTCATGGTGGACTTTTTATAAAGTTATTTTCTGGAGCTTCTAGTGGGTTTCTTCTTGTGGATGCTCCACCTATATGGCAATTAATAAAATGGCTCTAATTCAGAAGCTGCTTAGATCTACTATACATCATATTCATCACAAAGGGTTATATGGTTTATGTTTTTCAGTCATTTCTCATTTATTCTGGTTCTCGTGTGACACTTGCGATATAACGAACCTCATTTACTTTATATTGGCATCAACAATTCACAATTCAGTATATTCATTCCATTTGATGTTTAGTGGTCATTCGGTATATGGCAAATGTATTGTATTCAATGGTTTTAGAGGTTCTTCTCTTAGGGGATAATGCTGGCCACCTGCATCTCAGCAACCAAGAATGCTAGACAACAGGAGCTGCCTCTGTCCTAGTACAAAAAATATGGGACAAACTGCATCCTGTATTGAATCATTATAAATGCAGCGTTGTAGATAGAACCCTAGGTTATGGGGGCAAACAAGAGTAGCTGTACAGGTGTGGCAGTTGAGAAAGATGAAAAGTGGAGTACAGGGAGGCAGAAGAGGCTAATGAAACGAAAAATGAAGAGGCCGATTAGAAAAACCTTAGAGGTTGTGTGCACAGGTTATTTAATGTTTATATGTGTTTAAACTGATGTTTTATTAATTTATTTATTTATTTTTTCATTTATTTTACTATATGTACAACCTTTGTTTTTCCAATGTACTGCAGAAGATTTTCCCTTTCAGGTACAATATAGTTTGTTGAAACCTCATTTAAAGCCTTACTGGAGGAGGGAGGTGCAATATGGCCTTGAGCATAAGTAAATAAAGAAAATATATGCCAAACCACTACACATTCCCTTTTAAACATATTAAAGTAGGCTGCATTGATTTAAGTGTTTGTTTTGACAGTCAAATGCTGGTTGGAGGAGGTTGAAATTGCCTGTAAAATGGCTTATGCATTATACTATTACCACATTTCTATTTATGTGCCTTTACAGATGCATGCATGGATGTAGCCATGTTGCTGGTATGCATCTTGTTGTATTTTCATACATTTAGTGTTTCTACAATATACACTCACCAGCCACTTCATTAGGTACACCTTGCTAGTACCGGGTTCGACCCCCTTTTGCCTTCAGAACTGTCCTAATTCTTCATGGCATAGATTCAACAAGGTGTTGGAAACATTCCTCAGAGATTTTGGTCCATAAGGACATGATAGCATCACGCAGTTGCTGCAGATTTGTCAGCTGCACATCCATGAATCATTGATACAAGGCTCATCAAACCAGGCAATGTTTTTCCAATCTATTGTCCAATTTTGGTGAGCTTGTGCGAATTGTAGCCTGTTTCCTGTTCTTAGCTGCCAGGAATGGCACCCGGTGTGGTCTTCTGCTGCTGTAGCCCATCTGCTTCAAGGTTTGACATGTTGTGCATTCAGAGATGGTATTCTGCATACTTTGGTTGTAACAAGTGGTTATTTGAGTTATTGTTGCCTTTCTATCATCTTGAACCAGTCTGCCTATTCTCCTCTGACCTTTGACATCAAAAGGCATTTTTCGTCCGCACAACTGCCATACACTGTAATTCCTAGAGATGGTTGTACGTGAAAATCCCAGTAGATCAGCAGTTTTTGAAATACTCAGACCAGCCTGTCTGGCACCAACAACCATGTCACGTTCAAAGTACTCAAATCCCCTTTCTTCCCCATTCTGATGCTTGTTTTGAACTTCAGCAAGTTGTCTTCACAACATCTAGATGCTTAAATGCATTGAATTGCTGCCATGTGATTGACTGATTAGCAATTTTGTGTTACCAATCAAATGAACAGGTGTACCTAATAAAGTGGATAGTTAGTGTATTTTATAGCTTTACCCTTATATCTGTTGTGTGGCTTACATGAGATATTTTCCGGTCAATAGACACAGAGAGCTTCAGTTTGTTAGGACAACTTCTTAGGGTTGTAGATCACATCTACCTATCATATATTGGTTTATGTGCTCTGTTGTCTGTATGGTTTGATGAGTTGTTCATACTACCTAATTATTCAGCTATTTTTTATTTTTTTTTATTATTAATTGGTATCTTCATTGGGATTGGCCCTAGCTAGATAACCACCTCAGCTAATTATCCAAAAGAAATGTTGACTGTTAAATTTAGAGCTATATCTACATTTCAAGTACACAAGAGACAGTCTCTGACCACTACTAAAAACGATCCAGAGTACTCCAGTTAACATCATAACAATATCAGGATATGTTATTAACATATTAAAAACATTTTCTATTGAACACCATACCACATGGCCTTGGGTTGACACTCAATGCTGTATATATCTTCTACTAAAATGGCCACCCAGTGAACATACTGTATGTGAACTCACAAAACTGAGCATAGATACTGTAAGAACAACATTACTGTAACATTATACAGTATAGCGTGGGGTAAAAACACAGAAAGTCATACAAAATAGTTGCCACTAAAACAGATCACTGTATCAATATTATACATATCCCAGCGTATAGCAACTGTATATAAACCCAAATGTGATATTAAGGATATGATACTTCTATTCAACAACATAGGAAACAATCTAGGAAACAATGGAATTTGTAAAACCAGCAGCAAATATGACAAATTTTCAACACCATCAGCGACAATACAGTCCTAGTTAGTATTCAGCAGAGGAGACGTATACAAAGTAGTAAGCAAAATAGGTGCAAAGCATACATATAAAATGATAATGCATAAATCAATATTTGACAACTTTCTAAAATTGCAGCAGACAATGGCAGAGTCACACCCTAGAACAGTGTCTGCCTAGTAGAACTCCTTATAAATAGTAAATAGTTGAAGACTATTGTCTCACACACCTATTTGTAAGTACATTTATAGTATAAAGCTGCCCATACATGCTGGCCAGTTTCTGATGAACCAGCCGAACTTGTTTCTGCCAGACCCCTGCCCACAATCCTTCAACTGAAAAATGTAAGGCCTCAGGCAGAAAATTGTCCGCCAACCAGTGGTTGCATCCAATCAGATGCAATCGCTGTTGGGGTATTCAGAATACAGAAGCCCAGCAGAAGAACTCGTCTTCTAGCAGGGATAGGATTAATCTGTTAGATTTAGTTTTTTTTTGTTCAGCCCGCAAACTGAAGAAAAAAATCTATAATTAAATGGTTAGCTTTAGAAAGAACACAGGGTGCTTAAAACTGATTTCAGGGGGCTATCCCACCAAACCCCATGACCACAATATATACCCCATCATATATATATATTATAATAAATTAAACACAGCCACCTAGATGCACCAAATAGATAAAGTATTGGATTGTGTCAATAATGTATAGTATATTGTACTGATGTCCCTATACTGGTTCAATTGCTTGTAGTTTAGAAATGATATCCTGAGCCCTCATGCACACGGGACGTTTTGATAACGCTGGTAACGTTAGCTGTGTAAAAAGTTACGTTAAAAATGTGAGTTTTTCCTCTTTTTTTTGCATTAGCATTTAGCAGCGTTTTTTCTGTGATTAGCTGCGTTTTTCCACATTTATTTGCAAAAAAAAAAGTGCAAAAACGACCAGTTTGCAGAGTTTTATTACGTTTTTGCCATGTTTTTCAGCACTAGAATGTTTTTTACAGCTAAAAACTCCTCTAGAAACCCACTAGTTTTCCTGGGTTTTTTCCAGCCAAAAAACATCCCAGCCAAAAAAACGTTGATTGCAGTCTATGTGTGTGCATGAACACATAGGATAACATGCTGGGGGGTTTACTAGCTGTAGAAAAAAAACCCAAAACCAGCAGCTGTAAAAACGTCAAATGTGCATGAGGGCTAAGCTTTACTAAAATAGTTGTAGAATATATCTGGAATAACAAATGAATGTGTTTTCTGGGATTAAACCAGTGATGGTATGAGTCACAGGAGTGCCAGATTTAACACTACAATGAGAATAGATGCTGTATTTGTAGAAGTAAAATAACAGCAGCTGTATTCAATAAAGCACAGTGTTTGACAACAGTATAATCCATCTGCAACAGAAGTGCAACTCAAAATGTTCCTAAATGGCATAATCCTTATGCCAAGGGAAGGGGCAGGATGAAATATAGTTCAGATCAGGGGTAGGCAACATTAAAAGAGATGGAGATCTACCTAAACAACATGGGAGAAGTCACAGATCAACCTGGCACAGTGTGTTGCCCAATGATGCCTCCTCACGCCTCATTTAAACCTCTAATTGCTGTACTACCGTGCTGCAATCATGTGCATTGCTCTGAATTATAGGTTTATATCAGTTGGTGAGGAGGCAACATTGGCTCCATCCTACCTGTCAAACACACTCGGATAGCTTTTCAGAGGAGCAGCAGTGCCTGCTGCACTTGTGAATGAGTCCTGAGTTGCATTCGGCGAGAGCACCCTTAGGACTTGCTGACACATGAGGTAGGGAGGTAGCAAAACCATGCAGTTGAGCCACTGTTTTACCGTCCCTATTCCCTACCCCCTTTAGCTGCAGAGGCAGTAGCCAAAGGTGTATACATGCAGGAATAATACCCCTTGTTGAGTTATAAGCCCTGTCATGCTTGGTGGGAGTAGCACCCACCAAACATGACCCATTCAAGCAACTGCTTGATTCTGCGGGGGTTCAAAGCGTTAAAGCAGGTGCAGAGGAGGTAACACATCCTCTTCACCACCCGCTTTAACCCATGGTTTCTGTATTGCACAAGGTTACAGGGTGCTTGCAGAGAGGCCTAATTAATTTGTATGGGTCATGCTTGTGGGTGGTACACACACCAAGAGTGACAAGGTGTATAACTCCTGCTTTGGTCACAGTGGGGAAGGTAAAAATGCATCTTGAGTATGGAGTTTTTACCACCCCCCCCCCCCCCAAACTGCAAATGAGCCCTTACTGGCCAGAAAGGCGCACTGCTTTCAGAAAGCGCACCAAAACCCGTAGGATATAATAGAAGTCTATGGCTAAGCCCAGCTAACCCACAGAAAAACTGCAGGTACACTGCACTGCACCTACAGTGCAGGCAAACCACAGCTCATCAGTTTGAAAGCAGCCCTATACTATTATGCCCAGTTTATTGCTTGACACTAACCTGAAGACCTCTTCTTTCTTGCTGCTGGCACCGCTCTAGAGACTGCTAGCAGGGATAAGGCCACACAGTGGCTAAATGGTTAGCACTTTTGCCTGGCAGTACTAGGGTCATTGGTTTGAAACCACAGCACCACCTGCCTGGAATTTGCATGTTGTGCCTGTGTGGGTTTCCTTAGGGTACTCCAGTTTCCTCCCACACTCCAAAGACATGCTGGTTGGTTAATTGGCTTCTCTCTAAATTGTCCTGTGTATGTATGAATGTGAGTTAGGGAACTTAGATTATACACCCATTGAGGGTTAGGGACCAATGTGTGATGTACAATAATATATGTAAAGTGCTGAGTAAATTAACAGCGCTATATAAGTCCCTGAAATAAATAAATAAGAAGTGGAGTGCAGTTGGTATCACTCTGTCTGGTACAGGAGTCAATGCTACAGAAGAGGCATTGGCTTATGTTGCTCCTGTTCCGTCTGCGGCTGCCTGCTCTGGATACCAGCGCAACTACAACTTTACAAGAAGTCCATCTGCACTGTACTCTGTTTGATGCTCTGGTATGATGGGTCAGAAAGCCCAGACAGCAATCTACCAGTCACCTGCGATCAACTGGTAGATTGTGAGGAACGGGTTGCCGAACCTGGAATATTGTGTCTGGGTTTCAGGCTGTCTGAAACCCGGACACATGATTCAAAACCTGGACTGTCCAGTGAATCCCATAGAGATGGCAACCCTACAGAATAGGTGTCAGTCATACCAGATCCACCTCCAGCTGCATGTGCAGAATGAGCTTTTAGAAGGGTACTGGAGCAAAATCACATTCGAGTCACACCAATTTTGGTCAAGTACACTATATTGCCAAAAGTATTGGGACGCCTGCCTTTACACGCACATGAACTTTAATGGCTTCCCAGTCTTGGTCCGTAGGGTTCTATATTGAGTTGGCCCACCCTTTGCAGCTATAACAGCTTCAACTCTTCTGGGAAGGCTGTCCACAAGGTTTAGGAGTGTGTCTATGGGAATGTTTGACCATTCTTCCAGAAATGCATTTGTGAAGTCAGGCACTGATGTCAGATGAGAAGGCCTGGCTCACAGTCTCCACTCTAATTCATCCCAAGGGTGTTCTACCGGGTTGAGGTCAGATTGTGCAGGCCAGTCTAGTTCCTCCACCCCAAACTCACTCATCCATGTCTTTAATGGACCTTGCTTTGTGCACTGGTGCGCAGTCATGTTGGAACAGGAAGGGGCCATCCCCAAACTTCCCACAAAGTTAGGAGCATGAAATTGTCCAAAATGTCTTGGTATGCTGATGCCTTAGGAGTTCTCTTCACTGAAACTAAGGGGCCAAGCCCAACCCCTGAAATACAACCCCACACCATAATCCCCCCCCCTCCACCAAACTTTACACTTGGCACAATGCAGTCAGGCAAGTATCGTTCTCCTGGCAACCGCCAAACCCAGACATGTCCATCGGATTGCCAGAGAAGCGTGATTTGTCACTCCAGAGAGCACATCTCCACTGCTCTAGAATCCAGTGCGGCATGCTTTACACCACTGCATCCGGCGCTTTGCTTTGCACTTAGTGATGTAAGGGTTGAATGCAGCCGCCTGGCCATGGAAACCCATTCCATGAAGCTCTCTACGCATTGTTGTTGTGCTAATCTGAACGTAGTTTGGAGGTCTTTAGCTATTGACTCAGCAGACCTTTGACGACTTTCTGCGCACTGTGTGCTTCAGCATGCGCTGACCCCGCTGTCATTTTACATGGCCTACCACTTTGTGGCTGAGTTGCTGTTGTTCCCAGTTGCTTCCACTTTGTTATAATACCACTAACAGTTGACCGTGGAATATTTAGTAGCAAGGAAATTTCACGGATGGACTTATTGCACAGGTGGCGACCTATCACGGTACCACGCTTGAATTCACTGAGCTCCTGAGAGCGACCCATTCTTTTTCCACAAATGTTTGTAGAAGCAGTCTGCATGCCTAGGTGCTTGATTTTATATACATGTGGCTATGGAAGTGTTTGGAAGACCTGAATCCAATGATTTGGAGGGCTGGCCCAATACTTTTGGCAATATAGTGTATGTATGCAATGTGTTCTGGCAACAGGAGTTGTTAAGGACTCCATGCAAAATGTCTGTGAAATTCAGCAGTAGAGTAGCTGACACTGCAAGACAATACTGAACCACCAATACATTAAACAAAATTACATCCTCTTACAAGAAACCAAAGATTATGCCAGGCAAGCAAAATCCTTTTTTTTTTTTTTAAGGCAAAGTAAGTCCATCTAAAAGTGATGGCTTTTCCCTTAGCTTAAACAGAAAGTACAGCAATTTGTAGTGAGTACCTACTTGGAATTATTATTGCAGTAATTAAATACATTAGTGGTGTATCTCACAGCACTTTAGAGGTGGTTTCTTTTGTGTCAGTATTACCTTAATGGTTGTACTGTTCCCTTGCTAATACATGATATGTAGAGGGTTCCTGTATTTAACTTAATTCAACCTATCTGCAATTGTGAAGATACAGTATCTGCTGCACAGGGAGTACATTGTTTTCACTGAGTTGTCCAACTCTTTGATTTGCATTGTGAGAAGAAGCAACAAAGCACAACCCCTGTGTAGCACTACAAAGCAGGGAGTATGCAGTCAGCAAATGTGACTGCCCCCATGCACCTATAAAAATCATAAATTATATTTTGAAATAAATATTTTAAAATGATTTTAAAGTCAAAGGTTTTCCTTCCTTAATGTTGTTTGTCCACCAACCCCCCCCCCCCCCCATACTTACCTGAGTCCTACATCGATTCAGCATTCAGCAGGTCTGCAGCAGCATTGCTCTCTCTCTCTCTGCTATCACAGGACAGATTGATATCAGTGGGAGCCATTGGCTTCTGCTGCTGTCAATCAAATCCCATGAGGAGGGATCTGATGGGGGGGTTGCCGAGCCACACTGTGTGTGTCTATGGATGTCACGACCCAGCTTGGGAGAGTGCCCCCATAGCACACAGTTTGCTATGAATGCATATTCAGGGAGAGAAGGAGTGGGCAGTGTTGGCAGGGGGCCCCCAGTAGATGAGAGTAAGGGACCAATCTGTCCAATATCCTTGTTCAGAGCGGGTTGAGTATAAGCCTCTTTTTCATTTTAGGTAAAAAAGATTTTAATATCACTTTATAATAAAGTGTTACTAAACCCCAGGACCGTGCATTCACTGTATCTTGGTCTCCCATACTACAAATAATATGGTAATGCCATTAATTTTAGTAAATATAAACTGCCTAAATACCTTTTCTCATCAGCAGTTGGAGCAGTCTTGTGACTTCTATCAAAGTCCATGCAGAGCACTGGTTAAGCTTGTAGGAGGAGTTTTCATTCTCCTCTAGGAGGATGCAGGACTCCTAACCTCTGTCTTGACAGTGCTGATTGGCCCAGTGCTGATCACATACCCATGCACTCTGCCAAGAAAAAGAAACCTCTATAACAATATGTAGCAGGAGAGATTAATCCTGTTTCATGGCTGTGATCTGCTGACTGGCCTCTCCTGTGTAACCTGAACACTTGCCCTGACACAGACCAAAGCAGTGAGGGATTTCAGCCCCCCCTTTCTCCTCTCAGACTGTAAGAGAGAGAGAGCCAATTATGAGAGCCATTAAAGGAGCCAATGACAAGGGCTCTTTCAAGCAGGAAGTGCAGCTGCAAAGCATTGTGGACGATGGAGTTTTGAACAGAAACGGCCTTATAGGCTAATATGGAGATAGAAATAAAAAAGAACCACGAAAGCATCATGCTTAGAGAGAGCAGAGTGAAGGGCCATCTTGGGTTTTCTCCTGAGAGGAGAGGGAGATTGCATGTGGCAGGAGAGAGATTGGACCTGGCAAAGAAGTGCTGATGGGCAGTGCACTGCATGCTTGGTGATCTGCATCAGACAAAGGAACATCCAAACTGAGAGAAGTGGTCTACAGTACAGTGCCTACACTGACAGTGTGAAGTGCTCATCGTGAGGTGACCAGAGGAACCTGTCATTTCCAAGACGATCGTTTGGGCCTTTGTCACAGGATCTGTGAGAGGGATTTCTCCCACTGTCAGATGACAGGAACATTGCACACATACAGAGACATCATACCTTGCTCATATTCACCAGGCACTGGGTTGTGTAGATGGCCCTGCTGAACAGACACCGTGTTCACATTTGCTATACAAATACTGCCACAGGATTACAATTACACTTTAAGTGTTTAAGGAGTTTAAGTGCACCAACGAAAGTGGCTAGCTGAAGATCCCAACATTCATCCAGTTACAAAGAGACTGAAGTTACTGGTGCCATACGGGCACGCGCATGCGTAGTCAGGCCTCTATATTGCATGGTGTGTGAGGGGAATAGCTTACCTTGAAAGTAGCTATTAAGCATCATTTGGGTACAGTGTTTTCCTATTGGGGTCATGGTGTCGGGGTTGAGAAGGGAGAAGTCTGACACAACAGAGAGTCATTCTTCTGCTCTCCTCCTGCTTGGACATCATGGGGCCAAATTTATGAAGAGGAGTTAAATCCACTTTGAGGTTGCCATTTAAGTGTTTGCCTCTGCTCTTGGGGTTATTCATGGTTGGAATCCCCTGAAAGCAGCCCGAGTGTAAAAGTGAGTTATATTGCTTTCCGTCACAGTATTTGTTGTTTCTCTTGATTCTCCTAACATATACTGGTTGTTAATGTTTATTATTTCCCATAGAGGTCTACAGTAAAGCTGATCTCTGTGTTTTATTATAAAGTGTGTGCTTTTCATTGGTCCTTGCACTTACACTATTGCCAGGTGTGCCAGTGTGGGCTGAGACAGTTCTTGGGGTTGAAAGGAAGAGTGGCGGAGTGAACAAACTTAAGCAGCCCCTTCGGGGGTATCGCTACATGTGGGGGCTCGTCCGGGATACTTGCTGCTCAATTACCCAACAACCACTCAAGCAGTGCCCTATACCAACTCCTAAGATGGACGTCGCAGCTGCGACCAAGTGGTGCAGCATGGAAAATGCTTGCCAGAACGGAGTGTAGTGATCGAGTTCCCCAGAGAAAAGGGGACCGAAGAACAGATTACCAAGATAGTGAATGCACTACCCACAGAGGGGAAGAAAACGTGCGTGATAGATGTGATACCCGCCTCAGACACCACCCTGGCATATGCCCTGCTAGAGTGGAAGAAGGGGATCCTGACAGTTTCCAAGGAGCCAATATCCAAATAGAGGATGGGACAAGGCTCCAGTTTACTTCAGTTGAACACCCCCAGGGCCTAGTTGTGCAAAACCTGAGAGGGGAAGAATCCCTTGTCCCAGACACCTCTAGCCACCATAGGCCCGGAATTTCCTCACTGCATTGGGGGACTTCCATGTTAAAATGCCACAAGACCCCTCTCCATACACAGGGATGTATCGGAAGCTCCGATTCTTCTCGGTAGGCAACCTATACCTACCGGGGAGGATGGCTTTGAAGAGTGGCTAGACCAAGCCATGCAAGCACTAAGTGAATGGGACATTCCTGAGGCCCACAAGAAACAGAGGATTACGGAGAGCCTAAGGGGCCCTGCATTGGAGGCCATTCGCAACCTAAAACTTAGCAAACAGGATTGCACTGCTCAGGGCTATTTAGATATTTTACAAGATGTATTTGGGCGCACTGAGAAGGCTTCAGACCTCATCTATCAGCTAGAGCATACCTACCAAAATGAAGGAGGAGAAACTCTCCAGTTACATGGGACGTCTAGACAAGATAATACACCAAATTCTGCTAAAAAGGGGGAATAGGCCCTGAAAGAGTAGATGAGGTTCGGGCGCAACAAGTCCTAACGGGGAGCCAGGCCCTAGACCCCATTGCCATTCTATTACGAACTCGGCGAGATGGTGGCCTCCTGAACTATCCAGACTTGATCCGGACTGTGAGAGAGGAGGAAGCCATGTTGGATGACAAAGAGAGACAGTCAGACTCTGTTGTAGGGGTCCGGGGTAGTCAATGTGGGAGGTGACACCCCTGAAGTTGAACTCCTTAAGACTCAGGTGTCCCAATTAATGGAGATGGTGACCTTACTAATGGCGGGACCGTCGGGTTTAGCAAGAGAGACGAGAGCAGTTTTTCTGAAAACCTGTCAGGAGTTGCCCCAACGCAAGCAACTAGTCCCACCATTCAAATGACCTGCTTTAATTGTGGAGGGACCGGACATGTCAGGAGAGTCTGTCCAAGCCCCAGGAAGCCTGAAGCTAAGCGCCAAAAACCGGCGGAAAACTTCAGAGGGCCCTGGTGAAGGAGCAACCCAGGGACCCCACACCACAGCTAGCTCCACTCAACCAAGTAAAAGGGGGGCGAGGAGAAAATCTGGTCCTATCCAGAAGGACCCCACCACCATCCCTTACAAACAGCCTAGGGAAGATGCCACTTCACCTCAGGGAGTCAGTGCACACCTCAAACCTGGGAGTCAACCACGGCTTAGGCCGAGTCAAAACTCCCCCAGGAGGGGAGTAAGGATAAGAACTGCAGAACAGAAGAAGACGGCTACCTGTTCACCACTCCCCTGAGAATTTAGTGGGACCCTCCCCTGTCGTCCCGATTCAGGTAGAAGGGATTTATACCAGGGCTCTTCTGGACACCGGAGCCCAAGTAACCCTTCTGTATCGAGACTTCTATGACAAGCATCTGAAGCATTTGCCTTGCAGAAGCTGGAAGATTTGGAAATATGGGGCATAGGAACCCAGAAGTTTCCCTTTGATGGTTACCTATCGGTCAGACTAACTTTTGATCCTTCCATGACAGGGAAGGCTGAGACTTTCGAAGCCTTAGCCATCATCTGTCCTCGGCCGCCTGGGGCCAATAGGAGTCCCCTAATCATATGGGACCAACACCAATCTTGTCAGAAGGCTGTTGGCGTCATTGGTCGAAGAGCCCAATGATCAACCCCACTTCTGTACATCCCATGCTGAGGCAAGCATATCAGCGCCTGGTACAAGAAAGGAGAAGCCCCCCAGCGGAAAGAATAGGGAAGATATGGCGCCTGGATCAACATGAGAAGGTGCTACAACCCGGAGAGGTGGCGTGTTTACAGGCATCAGTCAAATTAACCTGGAAGCAGCCAGGCCCCTTCATTGTCCTTGAGGCTGGGTGGCTGTGAAGAGAACACAGGAG